CTACGCGGATTATCCTAAAAAGCACGCCGAGGAATATCATGTTGTAACCAACTACGACGACCTGTCCGACCTCATTGATGCAACCAGCTGGTCGTTCTTAGCTGAATTAACCCCCGAGGTGGCCTGCGGTGAATTCGTCAACATATTTAACAAGCTCGTAGCAAGGACATCTGAAACCAAACTCTGCCGGCCTAAAAGGATGAAGTGTTTCGTAAGAAGCAGGATGCGTAACTGCATGGTATTAAGGGACTTGGCATGGCTTACCTACCTAGCCTCACCGAACGACGACACCTGGGATGCCTACACAATCCATTGGAACCACTCTGTCAAACTCGTCCGGGAGGATAAACTGAAGAACCAACAAGGTCAAGTGGAAACCTTTTGCTCCAATCCCAAACTGCTTTACAGACACGTAAATAATTTGCGCCATGTTAAGCTCGGTATTCCTCCTCTGCACACAGCATGCGGGTTAGCCCAAACCATACAAGAGGCAGTCAACGTCCTTGGACAACAATTTGGCCGTACCTTCCAAAGCGTGCAATCATCATGCATCCTGCCTAAGCAGATAATGACGCCATCCGGGCTTTGTTACACTCAACCGAAATCAGAACAACAGTATTGCAAACGGAAGTTTAGTAGCAGCAATGGCAATAGTACATCGGCAGTCCACACTGGTACAAGGTCAATTGTTTAGTTTTACGCAGTTCGCATGCTTTAGCTAAGCACTCGCTTTTGAACCAATCAATAAGCATCGCTGGTTAGTCGGGAGATGGACACTCACGCACTAGCGCGCACAATGCAGCTCCACAGGCTAGGTAGTGTAGCATGACCTTGACGCTCTCCACGTCTGTATCACTTCTCCCACATTTAGTTGGAACTATCCAGCTTGGAAACGATCGACCGGTCAGCGTCGGCGCTCAGAGCGCCGCAAGTGTGACTCAGCTACCGGTTCGGCGTCACGCACGTGCATATCCTTCGATGCTTGAGCTGGCTGCTCTGTCTCGGCAACTGTTTCTGTGTCGGACAATCTCGGTCGCACATGATCTAAATGGTGTCGAACGATCCTGCCCTCCTCAGTCTCTGCTTCTATTGTCTGTCCGTTAGTTGTTTTAACGACGGCTGGCTCCCACCCCTAACCTGTAGGTAAGCGGATGTAGATGGGATCTGAATCTGTCACATGCTTGTCTCTGCTACAATTATCAAAACGCTCTTTCAGTCGTTGTTGTTTTTCCGAAACTTGTGGCTCAGTAGATCCATGCAAGAAATCCAATCGTGTAGGCAGTCGACGACCAAACATTAACTCTGCGGGGCTTCTGCCTGTGATATCGTTTGGCATGTTTCGATATGCGAACAAGGAACAATCCAAACGCACACGCAGCGGAGCATTTGGTTGTTTTATTAGCAGCTTCTTCACAGTTTGTAAGGCTATCTCCGCTAACCCATTAGAAGAAGGATGATAGGGTGCAGTTGTTATGTATTTAATGCCGTTCGAGTTGAGGAAGGTAGAAAATTCAACACTGGCGAATGCTGGTCCATTGTCAGATATTAATGTCTCGGGTGGGCCAAATGTTGCGAACGTTGTGCGTAGTTTCTCTATAGTACCAGCTGAATATGCTGAAACAAGAATATGGGCATCAATCCATTTAGAATGGGCATCGATGATTAGCAAAATCATCCGACCTTCGTGGGGACCGAAATAGTCTACGTGGACTCGTTTCCAGGGTGTTTCTGGCCAATTCCAAGGCTGCATTGGCGCACGAGGAGCGGCGTTTCGGGTCTCCTGGCAAGGTCTGCAACTTCCAACCTTCGCCACAATATCACGGTCTAACTCAGGCCACCACACATAAAATCAAGCTAACGACTTTGTCTTTGCGACACCTGGATGCGCATCATGTAGTTCGTCAAGGATACGTGACCGGGTCCATACTCGCTCCCATTGAAGTAATCTCATTGTTGATCCTCTGCTCTGCTTCTGCGATTAACCGGTCGCATTTCTCAGCTAGGATAAGCAAGCACTTAACCAGGGGGATGGTGGAACACGCAGTACAGAACCAAAATGCATCTTGGGAGCTATTTCGCTCCCGTAACTGTTGTTGGGACACATTTGCACATTTCGTATGGTACCATGCTAAACAGTGCGAACAAGCCAGACCGATTTTTACTACCCGATGACATTCTCCTAACCCGCAAATGCTTTTCGATGGGAGTCTCTTCGGTTTCGCCTTTCTGCCATTCAATTCGGTCTCGTTACCTGACCCAGTGGGTTGGTTAGCGTTCCGTACTTTTACAGCTTTGCGAGCGGCGCACATCAGTCAGGCGAGCGTGGTGGTTGCAAGGTCAAATGAGCGGTCGGCGTGGTCGCGCGGTCCGTGTGATGGGTAATGCAGCCGCACTGGCTGACAAGGTCACAAGGAATGGCGAGTGACTGGAACCTGAACAGAGCGCTGAACAAAGATTGACAGATCACAGATTCTTTCACAGCTGTGTTGAGAAACACTGGATCGGAGTAAGCTTAGGCTTTTCGGCCTGCCTCGAGAATTCTGTATCGAATGGTGTCACACAGAATGGCAATCGGCTTAAAACGATTGAGTTAAACGCTTGCGCTTAATCACAGATGCCAGTGAAAAACGCTTATTGATGGCACAGCTTCTAATCGTAGAAGATATTTCCACGTATGATGGATCACTGTGTAGAGCTGGTAAATCCGGTTTGAATGAGCGTACAGTGACAACGCTGCGAGAAGATGGAGAGAGGATAGAGGGAAATAATCCAAATGAACCAGTAGCACGGCACGGCACGTACCCGCTGTTGCTATGGCAAGCCTTCGTGTGACCTGTTCTGCCATCGTATCACATGTAAACGGTAACGATAAGTACATTCTCCGTCTCTCCGCGGAAATGGGTTTTAGCTATGGCACTCGCGGTTCCATGTACCTCTGGTTGAATTTTTTAGGGACTCCATTACGCTCTAACACGCTTCGGACAAAGCTCAGCTCATCTGAAAGCATATCTCCTATACATATTCTCGCTCTTTCCGTTAGACAATGGACGAGACTGCGTTTTTGACTTGTCGGAACAAAATTAGCGAAGTGGATCTACTGCCCATTCTAGCTTTCCTTTCTGTGCACCCTCCTCCACATTGACCCGTCTGATGCTCTATTGATTTGGGCATCTAAAAATGTTAGCGAATCGTTTCGTTCTAGCTTCATAGTGAAAGTTGTGTTACTGTGTTCAGAGCTAAAGTGGGCCAATGGATCATCGGCGCACACTTCATCACCCGCGATACAAAATATGTCATCAACACATTCATCGTAATACACCAAGCTGTTGATGGATTCATTCAGCTTGTTGCCCTCTAATTTACTCATGAAGATGTCCACATGTAAAGGCACTAACAGTGAACCCATGGCCACCCCGTCTCTTTATCGATATAGCGTTCCATTAAACTGAAACAATGTTCTTCGTACACATCAGTAGCATTTGTCTCAATCGGTCTAGTGGGATACCACTGTCAATGTTCTGCAACTGGATGAGCTCGCACGGATAGTCTGTGGTATCCTGCAATGGTACGTTGGTGAGAAGAGACAACACATCTAAGAAGAACATCTTCCGTGCGGCTAACTGAAGTTGTTTCACTGAGTCATGAAAATCAATGGTGTCCTTTAGGCTGAATCTGGCTATGATTTTTCTTACTGTTTCCATCGTTTTGACGATCCCTTTTGCCGTTGATTGCTACGGTGGGTTACACATATCTAGTATCAGCCTTAGCGGTTTCCCTTCGTTATGTACTTTGGGTAGACCATAAAGTGTTGCAGTCACTCTTGCACTCGGTCTGTTTTCGAATATGTCAGAGTCGATTACATTCTCCTTCTTTAAGCATGGTGGAAGTTTTGTTATGGATCCCTCGATGGTTGTGTCTTGTCATCCTTATTCTCCATTCCACAAACTGTTAACGCATCAGAAAGAAAGGCTTACATTTTGTTGATGTAGTCCGATCTATTCATCAGAATGATCCTGGTTCCTTTATCCGGTCTAGACAGCAGTATATTATCGCTTCACTTGAGTTCTTCAAGAGCGTCTAAATGTTCCTGATTCAATAGATGCTTGACACCGTTTATTACTTAGCTATTAGTAACATACGTTAACCGGTTGACTTATAATGCTCAGCTTCTGAAACTCATAACGGCCTAAGCGTAACTACTTAGAAATAGAAACACTCAAATTGCATCTCTAAAGCTGACTGTTTAGCATAGCTCCGTGGACCACAGAACTTTCTAGTTCCACTTGTCGTGCCACACCCCGCTGAACTTATTATTCGAACGGATAGTTTTCTTCAACAGCTAGATTCTCCAGCGCAACAGATAAAACTCATCGGTTCAGTTCGAGTTCGTTAATCCGAGACACAACCGTATCACGCTCATTCATTATGTGACGTTTCAACGCAGCATTTGTTGGGTGGATACAGGGGCGTTTATGTATTTTCCAAAAGTGCTTGTAGTGTTCACAACCTGTGTGTGTGTGTCATAACAACAGAGACGAGAGAAAGCATGTCACTTGACCTATGATCCATCAGATAGCGGTTTCCAAAGGATATCTGATACGAGATTTAGTCGCAAGCCGTGATATAGCGCGGTTTCTGCTTGGCTTACTTTACATTTGTTTCTAACAATATGGCATGCAGCTTTTGGTCCTAGCACATCTTTTTTGTAATTTTTGCGATTTGGTTCACTAACTTGATCGGCGTATATAACCTTCTCTGCACCCATTCAGGGCATTGTACATCGAGATATTAAACCGGCCAATATATTCCTCGTGGGTCCCGCAAAGTGTGCTGCCGACTCGACGTCATCTAGTCCGCTTCGTCACGGACCTAATCCTTATTCCTCCCCTGGATCACCTGCCCACGGACAGTGCCTATTGAAGCTGGGCGATTTCAGTCACTCACTGCGGCTTCACTCCCTCTCAAGCACCGCTCGGGGAGCCGCCGGCACCGTCTGTTACATGGCGCCGGAGGTCTGTCGTGACTTGGAATCGGGTTATGGTCGACCTTGTGATATTTGGTCCTTTTGCTGTGTGCTGTTGGAGCTACTCACCGGCAAACCGCCATGGCATGAGGTGGCCGATGTGTACGCAGTCTTTTTCAAACTCTGTCACAACCAATTGCCCACTCTACCGACAGTCTTTCCCCAAGCATTGCAATATTCTCGTTCGCCCGCCTCGGCCTCCTCCTCCACTACAACCGAGCCAACGTATGCTAGCAAGGAAGCCGTGGCTCTACTCCAAGCTGGTATCACAGCCGATCCGGACGAACGTCCGACCGCGACGGATCTCTTCCAATTCGACTTTATCCAATGTCCGGTGTCTAACACTACGGACCAGTGAATGGCACCTTTAATACATTGGTGTTCCATGTTATTGCTATTTTTGTACCACTATTTTCTAATTGTTAATATTTTGTATTACCACCAGGTACTTTATTGAATGCTTATACGTCTATGGAATTTACACGCTGTTGTCTCCTCAGTTCGACTTGGTAACGGTTCGACGCGATGCGATGCCATCAATTAACAATGATGTTATACGGGTTAAGAAGCACTGCTTTACTAGCCCTGTTGGATAGTCTGGTGGGTTATTGTAAAACGTTAACGAAGATAATGGAGTTAGTAATTCCACTGTCAAATGAGTGGATTTATCGTTTGTAATGCAGTAGCCCTGCAGTCCGAATGTTTCCATAGCTTCAACAGGCGAAGAAATAGATCCAAGGTATTTCCCGGGAGTAGGATGGAGAGTGGTATCAAGTAACAAAATGTAAGTGCGACAGAGCGCGTCATCCAACCGACTTTTAAATATGGCTAGTGTGGGTGCAAAAACAACCGATTCGGGGACAGCGTTCCATGGTTGACACGCACGAATAGAAAAGAAGTTTCCACGGCACGCCAGTCGGCTTATTGTTTTGCTAATTTCAAGGAGCGGTCTCTAAGTTTGGTGTAACTGCTGAGTTGCAGCAAAGAGCCTCACACATGATTTAGATTGTGTAAAATCAAATAGGCCATAATCAAATCGCCTCGTAGTCGGCGATACCGCCCAGTGAATGCTCCCAAAGGTTTCAGCCTCTGATCGTTCGGCGGGTGGCGCATCCCAATGACGTATTTAATAACTGGACTTTGAGATTGGTCCAATGCAGTAAGGTCGTGCTTCTGCCATGGCTGCCAGGTTTGGATTGCGTATTCGACATGGCGGTGAACATACACATACAGCATCTGTCTGAAAATACTGGTCTCTAGTTTTCCGGTAGACCATAGTAGCAAGCCGACCTGCTGGTTACCAGTTTTCGAGGTCTTTAAGGATTGCTTGGTACGACTCAAATTATCTTGAACAAGGACGCCAAGGCCGTGTTCCACGGATGACCCCTGCATTACTTTCGTTCCTAGCTTGTATGAATAGGTACTCAGGTGTCGTATTGAGAGTGCGTTGCATTTGTCCACCTTGAACTGTAACATATTTCGGGTTGACCAATCATGTATCGTATCCAGGTCACATTGAAGTAGATCCTGATCGGCATCCGCCTGAGTCTGGCGCCATTTCTTGATATCGTCAGCAAATAGCAGGAAATTTGATGCTATTTTCCGTGCAGGGTCATTGAGCCCTGAGGCACACGAGACTCGACTGGTCTAGGTTCAGATAAGGAACTCCGGACTCTGACCATTAATTGTCATTGCAGGAGAAAGTTGGCGATCCAGCTTAGGAGAGGGTCACCCATGCTTTAATATTGGAGATTAGCAAAGAGAACCTGATGAGCTAAACGATCGAACGCCATCGACCAATCCAAGTAGATCATCTCAACGGCCTCTCCAGCGTCAGCTGATTCAGTCCAACTACTCCGCGCGATTAATAGATTCGTTGTGAACGATCGTTGTCGACGAAAGCCGTGTTCTTTGTGTGTAATAACCTTGTTATTTTCTAAATAACACACCAACGCATCGACACCAATGAATTCCATGATTTTGGATAATACAGCAAAATGAGACACTGGGCGGTAGTTTGTGGGTCCAATCCTGCGACTACCTTTGTCAATCGCAGTTATTATTACGAACTTCCACACCGCAGTACAATACACAATACTATTTTTTGTACAGTGTACTAGAGCGTAGTTATTAAACTCCTGCACAGACTCTGAAAGAGCTTGCTGTACCATCTGAGATTCGGTACATGCACCAAAAGTTTTCTTCTTTCATGATGGCCAAAATGCGTGGACTATCCTTTTGCTTCAGTTGCTTTCGAAGATGCTTGCATGTTTAACGTAAACCATTGCTCTCTGAGGCGTTTCTCGCAACTCTCTTCGACTGACTAACAGCTCTTGCCGTCATTGTTCCATTTGAATACCTTACAGCATGGTGGCATTTCTTGTTCCGGTTGTTGGTCCAGTTAACCGCTTCCTTGGGCTGAACTAAACGTAGCAACTCCCATCAGCATTTTCTCTCGCTCTGCTTGCTTGAACAAGTCGTGATCGAACTATTCAAGCATATCTGTTTAACCAGATATAAAGCTACCCTGTGCGTTGCTTGACACGACTCCGAAACGACGCATTCTATTCGGCATTTTAATAGGCCAGCGTCAAATTTCTCGGAGTTACTGCTGCGAGCTGTCTTACGGAAAAGACACTCCACATGTGCTTTAAATGGATATACCTTAGATATTGTTGGCCTTCGACGCTGCGCTCCACGCCAGGTTTCACAATTGTCTGTGCTCATTAGGTTATACTACCTGCTGAGTACAACCAACAACAGAACCGAGCTTAAAGTGCAGTATTCCGATAAGGTAGTATCTGACATTTGTCTTTTTCAGCTACAATCCTGGCGCCCAAAATTGTCCAAGGTCCAGTTCCAAATGAACCGCGATCCAGATTGGGATTACAGGTCGCAGTCGAATCACGCTACGAGTGTTCAACTAAATGCACCACTCTTTAAGTGCAGTTTGTCATACAGGGGCTCAATCAGACAAACATTTTGCTGTGTACCATGTGACTGGCTCGAGCTCGTGACCCATTGTATCGTATGTGAGGACTTAGACCTCGTAGCAAAGGCAGATACAAGTAATTGAGGGAAGCGCGCTTTTTCCTTGATACAAGCGACGCTCTAACTTCTATGCATTAGAAACCGAATTACTGATATATAGCTGTCCGTACGTCATGTATTTGATGCTGCATGATGATTGTAGTCCTTCAGCATATCCTTAGCGAACCCTGGGAGCAGCTTTATTGATTTTAGCATGCAATAGTCAATGACATTTCTCCACCTACTAAAAGGTTTTGGTTAATCGCTCACTTCGGTAACTGTATTTACCAGATCGGATTTTACACCCTTACTACAGGAAGATCAGTTGCTGTGAAGTGATTTTCAGTGTACTAAGTAAATTACTTGCATTCTGGCACGTACGAGCACTCAATACAAAATGCCACTTCAACCCTCAAGTATTTCACATACCCTATGAATTTCATAATGCTGTTAAAGGAATAAACGGAGATAGAGTGTAGCGAGAATGGCTGCCTCACGCTAACAGACTCGAAGTATTCGCGATATACTACTGGCGAGTACCCTTCCCGGTGGTTGAAAAGAAGGCACGGCAGTGACGGGACAAAAGTGTATTGTGGTGTACACTGTTCCCGTATATTGGCTAAAAATACACCGAACGACGTGAGCTAGCTAAGGGAAGGATGTGAGCGACTGAGTGACGTGTTGAATCTAACCGTGGCGCTGTGTGTATATATCTCGTGTGTGTGTGTGCGTGCGTGTGTGTGTGTTGAGTCAGACAAACAAACGCAACATACAGCCTTCTATAAGCAACCTCAAAGTGTACAATAAGATGGATATTTTAATTAGTAGTTTGCACAACATAGACAAACCGAGAAAGACTCCTGTGTACAAGGCAAATTACTTACGTGATCAAAGAAGAAGCTTCACTTCAATGGGAATGGCGGTAGAAATTGAGGTTGCGCGTCGCAATGCATTCAAATAACCTGCACTCAGAAATGACCAGGAAAGTCCACCATTGACCATTGTGTCAATTGCTTCCCCTCGTGATCCATGTCTTAGGCGTAGCGGTCACAACTAACAGAGATGTGTTCCCTATTTCGATGCCTGCTAACTCTATCTGTTTAGATGTGATAACATCAAAAGGCGTCCTAAGATTTCAGTGGTTTCAGGCGGCAACACCCAATTTATATTTACATCAGCCACAGTCCTCGTAATCCAGAGAACTAGGTTTACTTTCATGGGAATCGCGGTCAAAATTGCGATTGCACGTCGCAATACATGCACACAACGTTCACTTTGAAGAATGACCAACAAAATCAGTACTGAACTGTTGTGCCAAACGTATCCCGTCGTGAACGCGTAATTCAGGGTTAGAGTCAACAAGTGCTAATTAAACGGTCTCAGGTTCACTGGCACATAAATCTAACTGATGAGATTTACTAACATCAAACGCCTCATATGAGTGCAATTATTTTCGGAGCGGGCAATCAGCTACGGTACTCGTAATCGAAAGACCAATGTTAATGCACCCACCCTATCCCTTTTCAAAAACGCCTTGACGTTACCCTGTCACATTTACACTACGTGCTATACCCCATGACCACCAGATGCTGGCACTAATGCACAGCAGACAGTGGATAGTGCCATAACCCTACTCGAGAAGGAGTCACTCCAAACCCCTTGCAGACAATTTGAGAAACGCTGCTACTGTAGAAACCTGGTTTCTGTATCCCGTCGACCCAAGATATTTGCACACGAGTAAGTGTTGTCCTTGTTACTTTTTTATATTTTTCTCGCTCATTACGTGATCAATAACCACTCACCTTATGGATTTGTGTGCGCACATTCTAATTGCCAGTTCCCTTTATACAGCAGTGTAGTTAAATCGGTAATGGACCGAACCGCCGATTCCATCTGCCCTTGATCTATTTTTCTCACTCTAACCACCCTACGGGACAAGCCAAGCATCTGCTTTTTTACCAGTTATAAATCACTGTTCATTGCTTTTTAGAGAATATCCCCATTTCCATTTGCATCACCAACTGTCCTCATGATCGAAAGACCAAGGTTCACTCCCATGGAAATGGAGGTCAACATTGACATTGCGCATGGCAATCCATCTGCACAATGTGCACAACTAAAGATCAATCAAAATCCATCTACAACCTTGTTCCAATCGTTTGCCACCCGTGGACCCGTGGCCCAGGGTTAGCGATCAAATACATCATTCATTCATTCATTATACACGTCAGCTAGAGACGGGAAAACACCTCCGCTATTGTGCCGCAATACATGAAGGAAATACGTACACACATACATATAATACAATACACAAAGGAAAAATAGATA